AAGCATTTCTGAGTGCCTGAAGCAGGACACTCACCTGTTGTTGAGGACTTGCTGAGCTGTAGGATGGATAGCTCTGAGATAGAAAACAGGGAGGATCCACAGGTATGCCTGGTAGCTCTGGATATGAGTTCTGCAAATGTAAGTAAATGAAGGAAAAATGTTTGGAGAAGCTTTCAAGACAGTGTTTTTTGCAGTGATGTGGTGGATCTTTTTTTTTTTGGCCTGTCTATCTTCCTGTGTCAAATCAATCACGCTGCTTTTGGCTGTACAAAACTTTATTAATATGGAAGGATAAAATGAGAGTATCATAAGGATAGAAACCTGAATGCTGCCATTGTACTGGTCCCAGGATGGTGGCATATCGCTGCTGTGCGAATGACTGCCAGGACTGCACACCTCATGCAGACTGCTAAAGGAAGAAGAGCACTGTTGTAGGCACTCTGTCACTGCTCCGTCACTGAACTGTCGCTGATACGGGTGGAAACGGTCAGCGTCCACGTCCCCTCGCCCTGACCGTGAACTGATCATTCCATCAGCGCTGTGCCTCCTGCTCACTGCTGCAGTTCTCAGACTCAAGGTGTTGCTCTTTTCCTGGGTGAAGCAGCTGCCTTCTTTGGTCTGTGGTGTGAAAACCATCATCACAGTGATTTGACACAGGCTGGATTTACTTGGAAATACAAATATGCTAACTGCTGCAAAACAGGTGGCACCCATCTCTCCACTTTAATTTTAAACAAAGAATTCAAATAACAGTTTTTCCAGAGAATCCCCTAAGGTAAACAGAGAAGTGTGCCATCTTTATTTATTACTATTCTTATTTATTTTATTGTTATTTAGAGTGTGGCCACAAAATAAAATGTGTCAGAAGTCTTTTTGAAGGATTTAAGACGGGTTTATTTATCCTGACAGCACCCTGGCAGTAGTTTAAGTTCTATTTAATAAGCATTAAAGTGGCATAAGTTGTATCTGTCTGCAAGTGGGTAGCTGTACAATCCCCGCCCTCATATACTTTGTTCTTGTTATTTTTGAAAAACTCACTCAGTTTAATTCAGAAACACTACACAGAAATGCAGATAGCAGCTAGATGAGACTCAAAGCAGATTCAGAACTGGTTTATTCGCAGTGTTACATAAAAAAAAAAAGAAGAAGGTCATTTTGGGTTAAAATAGCAATGCCAGAGGCGGCTGCCTCTGTTTCTACCATCTGTTGATGTGAGGCTCCAAAGGGTTCACAGGTGTGTAGACTCACCTGAGGGGGTGATGTTTGATGATGAGATTTGCTGCTCGGGGAAAATGTCAGTGACTGTGACATCCTGCACCAAAACCTGCTGCTGTGAAGACATTTGTGAAAACAAGCTAAATGAGAAACGTTTGGGTTGTTGTCAGGGGCTTTAGTCAAATTGAACATTAAAAAAAGCTGTGAAAGTAATTTAGTAAAAACTTAAATGCTGCTTGACCAAAATAAGACAACGAGACTGACTCTGGTGTCATTTTTGTATGCTAAATATAATGATGTTGTATCTGGCAGCTGCTTAGCTTATCTTAGTTTAAGCTAGCAGTGCACAGCTTAAAGACTGCACTGCTTGCTAGGATGTGACAAAATTGGCAAAAGCTGTGCAGTTAAAGCTCACATTTGTTTATATTTTGCTAGGAAAATAGGAAATTGATGCAGTGCAACGCAAAAGCATCTTTAACGAAGCAAGCTTTCTTGTAATTTCTTCAATTAGTCTTTAAGACATTTAAAGCTCTTCTTTGGATCTTGGCTGCATTTTGTCCTGTTCTCTGTCAAGATTAGTCCACACTGTCGATAATGTTGATCTTTGGGGAGGCCAATCCAAGGCTCATAGTGTTCCACTGTGTTTTAAAGATGGCTGTAGACCAGGGGTCTCCAACTCCAGTCCTCAAGATACAGGGGGTGTCCAAATTCATAGGCTGCACCCTCCTGATGCCGCGTTTGTAGGCCGATTACGTCACAGCGACGCGACAAATGCTGTCCAAATTCATTTAATGTTTTTGTTTGGCTTTTTTCAGTGTTTTATTAGTTCGTGAGTAAATCGGTTTGGCTGAGATTAAAGTTATAGTTTTCACACAGCTGAATAAACGTCAAAAAGAAAACTGATTAAACAGAAGTGTGAGATGATCAAGCATTTACGCCAGTGTCCTGTTATATTTTACATAGCAAGGAGCAGGTGGCTGAATTTATTAAACTCCACCGAGACAGCCATCTATACTCCAACACAGCTGAATTAAATAGCCGAATTACCTCTTCAACTTGCCATCAAGTTTGGCAAAGGATTGGTAACAAGCCATTAATTTGATTCCGATGTGTTGGAACAAGGATGCATCTAAACGCTGCAGGACAGTAGCTCTCAAGGACTGGACTTCTACAGATACTCACCGTGTACCTCTCTTTTGACATTCATAATGGATTTGTATACATCAATTAATAATATCTGTTGACACTGATTTTCAGTCCAGTTGTCCAGCTTTTTCCATTTTTCTCCCTGTTTCCCATCTTTTAAGAATTGTTTCTCGACAGCCATCCTTTCACTGAGAACATTTCCAATGACACTTGAGTAAACAGAACTGAAGAGCCAACTACATGTCTGAGGTAGTTGGTAAATTTTCATACATTTAAATGACATGATACTGATACTGTTCATCTGCTATAAAGTTTTCTAGGCCTGTGAATTCTCCTTTTCCCCCCTACCGATCCGGTTTCCTAAGTCTTTTAAAGACACACTGAACACTATACTGAGAAATGCCAAGTTTTCAGCTACTGTAATAGCTCTTTTGGATCCACCTTGTTGGTGCTAAAATAACATTTCATGTCTGTCAAACTGTATTATCTTTGGCATTTCTCATAGATAAAACTAAAGATTGAAAACGACAACAATCAACTACTTGGAACAACAGGTTGTAAGTAACAAATTGCCTAAACATGCGATTTAAAATCAGTTCTTTGCTAAGTTGTCTGTTATGTTTTGACACAACACTGGTTTATTCCTTGGGGTGGGTGCCCCTTTTGACCTCAAATGATTCACATTGTTAAATGGCTTAACAAACAAACTAAACATTCCTCTGAAAATGACCGGGTACAAGGTACAAGGACAGGGCTAAATTAAGTGAAAAAGCAGCCAATGTCCAAAGATAAAAACAATTGTTCAACTACTACTAAAAAATCTGGCTTAAAGAAATGAGGGGGTGGCTCAAGACTTTTGCACAGGACTGTAATTTGAAATTGTTGTTTTACATTGGGTTTTGTGTTTTACCTGTGTCCAGTATCATGCTAAGCTAAGCTAAGCGGCTGCTTACTGCACTCACTCAACTCTCTGCTAGAGACCAACACAATTCCCTTCATTCTGGAGTAAAACATGACAAGAAAACTCAAGTGGACGGTGGTGAAATCTGATTCATATTGCTGTTGCCACATAAGAGGAATCAACTCTAACATGTTTGGGGAAAGCACTTCTGTTCACTGATCCTTTGTGATAATATCGTGTGAGTCATTTCTCTACTGTAAATCTGACAGCACGAATGCAGGCGTGGGAACAGCTGAGTTCATTTTCACCACCAGAGCATTAAAACTCCAAAGTGCTGGTGGACGTATGTGGGTCAGGAGGGTTATCTGAAAGTGTTATGTGATCCCATCAGAGGTGTGAGACACGTGGCCCTGGTTCCAGTAAAGGTAACCTCAGCCTCCACATAAACCAAGCTCATTAAAACTGCCAACAAACCGTGGCGCTGGGTCACGTAAAGTAAAGTAATGCTGAGGCGGACAAAGTGCCTCTCTTAGAAAGTTTGTGTGCGGAAAAGAGAGAAGTAGCAATCGTAGCTCTTTCTGTTCACATCAAAGGAGGCTAAAGTGTCGAGGTGAAAGCTGAGAGATTGACGTTTTCATCACTGTGGCAACAAATCCTCTCATCTGCTTGACAGACACTGTCACCAGCCAGAACGGATGCACTTTTAGTAAGAAAAGAAGGAGCTGTAGCGGTGGCCATAATGTGTGTGTATGTGTGCTTATCTGTGTTTCCATAAATCAATACCTAAAAGTTGTGTAGTTTTTAAAAACTGCATCTATCTTAAAAAGAGAGGTTGTTCCTCTATCTCTTTGCTCATTTTGCACAAAAAAACAAAAAAAAGTTTTGTAATGTTACAAAGATCAGTGTTCATGATTTCCATTTTATTTAAACATGAAAGTATACATGTATTAGGGCGGTTGAGAGGCTCCTACACTTGACATGACACTACCAAGACTTTGATGTGAAATTTACCCAAAATGAAAAAACGCATACCTGTTCAGTCTTAAAAATCTTTCTCATATATGAAAAAGATTTTTTATTTTGTCCATGCTTTTTATGGTACTTTCGGATGACTATTAATGCACAAGAGACAGAAATTTAAGTGACTAATCTTGTGTAAGTATTAAATCTGTAAATAGGTCAGCTGTGAGGATTCATCAGCAAGTCAGGATAAAATTGTGCGCTAATAGTTTCAAGGCGCTTCATGACTCTCATGTCTGCTATTTTATTCTATTCCTTTCTATTTCTTATGCTTTCTAAATGTTCCAACTCACATTCCCTTTTAACAATAAGCAATCTAGTGAGTTTTCTATTTTATTTTAGAAAATAATTCTTTAAACTTAACAGAGCATGTGATACTTGTAATACTCTACATGACAAGGAACAAATAATGTATTGCATGTATGCATTTCCATTTTTTGACACTTTCCTGGATTTTACACAGTTAGCCTGCACTCTTTTAACTAGCATTTAACTGTAAACCAGGCTTTTAACTACTGAGATAGTTTGTGTCATTTATTGTTAGATTATGACCACTTGGCTTCTTATGTTTAATACTTAGAGGCATAATAGTCCAAATTAAACACAAGATCAGAGTTTTGTGCTAAAAGTGAATGCTACAACCCTTTGATCTTCAGTTCGGGGTTATTTGTTATGTAAATTATTCAAGCTAAATAATCTTGTTTTAAATTATTGGAAATTATTTTTTTATGGGTGTAGATTTTACCACAAAGTGTCACAATTTCTGTGGTTGTATCTACACATAAGTTTTAATCATGATATAGAAAATATTGCGTAACATACTTTTTGACCTCTGCAAGCAGCAGTAGATGTAGGATGGTGGATGTTATGCATGAAAAAAATCAATTTGTGTACTTTTTAATGTGAATATTAAAATGGGTTTTGTTGTGCTATTATTTTGTTATATTTGATAAATTCAGTCAGGTGGTTCGGTTTGTATGTGCTTCAGTGGAACTGGACAAAGATGATGAAATTTTATGAGCATTTAACATCTATTCTTTATCATTATATGACTCTTGCAATTGCAATTATTTTTAATGTACTGTAAAACAATAAGAATGAAAGTGACCATTTTATTCTATTAATTCTATTTGATACTATCAACAGTATTGTTTCTCCTCCAACTCAGCATGCTTTCTGACGAAGATTGTAGCACTTTCCTCAATTACTTTGTAAATAAGGTGATGGACTTGAGATCCAAAATCTCCTCGAGTGCCTCCCCCTATGAAAATGCCCCTTGTTGTCCCGGGTCATTTACTTCTTTTTCTCCAATCACACTCGATGACTTAATTGCAGTAATATATGCTATACAAAACGCAGCAGCCAGACTACTAACTCGCTCTAGCAAGCGAGCTCACATCACTCCTATTTTATGTTCTTTACATTGGCTCCCAATAGATTTTAGAATTCGTTTTAAAATTATTGTTTTAACGTACAGAGCACTAAATGGCCAAGCCCCAGATTATTTATCCAAGCTTCTCACAAAATACACTACTGCTCGCCGTCTCCGCTCACAGACTCAGAGTTTGTTGGTTGCTCCCAGAACACGTCTGAAGACGAAAGGGGACAGAGCCTTTCAGTCTGTGGCACCAAGGCTGTGGAACAGTCACCTCTACAACTACTTTTGGTTGACTCTGTGGAATCCTTTAAAAAACAGTTAAAAACTTTACTGTTTAAACAAGCTTTCTGTTGACCAATGCTTTTCATATTTTTATATTTTTTTATTTACATTTAAACTCTATATTGTGTATATTGTGCATTTTGCTATTTATTGTCTATTTATTGTACTGTTTATTTTAATCTCTGTGTGCAGCGCTTTGTGACTACCTGTCTATGAAAAGCTCTTAATAAATAAACTTTACCCTTACCTTTATGCAATGCTAATGAAAACATTTTGACTTAAGGAACCTTCAACAGTCACATGTCAGATTCTGCCCTGCCCTATGGTGATAAATTGATCTTATAATATGCAAATTCTTCTCTAATTATTGTGTCACAGAAACAACACCGATGGCTGTCAGTGGAATGAATAATAAATAAATCACATGTGAAAGCTGACAAGCTGTGGACAAGACGCTGTAGCTGATTCAAATGTATGAATGTGCCCGCGGCACATTTCCAGCTACAGTGGCTTGCAAAAGTATTCGGCCCCTTGAAGTTTCCCACATTTTGTCACATTACAGCCACAAACATGAATCAATTTTATTGGAATTTCACGTGAAAGACCAACACAAAGTGGTGTACACGTGAGAAGTGGAACGAAAATCATACATGATTCCAAACATTTTTTTTTATAAATAAATAACTGAAAAGTGGGGTGTGCATAATTATTCAGCCCCCTTTGGTCTGAGTGCAGTCAGCTGCCCATAGACATTGCCTGATGAGTGCTAATGACTAAACAGAGTGCACCTGTGTGTAATCTAATGTCAGTACAAATACAGCTGCCCTGTGACGGCCTCAGAGGTTGTCTAAGAGAATATTGGGAGCAACAACACCATGAAGTCCAAAGAACACACCAGACATGTCAGGGATAAAGTTATTGAGAAATTTAAAGCAGGCTTAAGCTACAAAAAGATTTCCCAAGCCTTGAACATCTCACGGAGCACTGTTCAAGCGATCATTCAGAAATGGAAGGAGTATGGCACAACTGTAAACCTACCAAGACAAAGCCGTCCACCTAAACTCACAGGCCAAACAAGGAGAGCACTGATCAGAAATGCAGCCAAGAGGCCCATGGTGACTCTGAACGAGCTGCAGAGATCTACAGCTCAGGTGGGGGAATCTGTCCATAGGACAACTATTAGTCGTGCACTGCACAAAGTTGGCCTTTATGGAAGAGTGGCAAGAAGAAAGCCGTTGTTAACAGAAAACCATAAGAAGTCCCGTTTGCAGTTATCCACAAACTAGAAGGGGACACAGCAAACATGTGGAAGAAGGTGCTCTGGTCAGATGAGACCAAAATGGAACTTTTTGGCCAAAATGCAAAACGCTATGTGTGGCTGAAAACTAACACTGCACATCACTCTGAACACACCATCCCCACTGTCAAATATGGTGGTGGCAGCATCATGCTCTGGGGGGGCTTCTCTTAAGCAGGGACAGGGAAGCTGGTCAGAGTTGATGGGAAGATGGATGGAGCCAAATACAGGGCAATCTTGGAAGAAAACCTCTTGGAGTCTGCAAAAGACTTGAGACTGGGGCGGAGGTTCGCCTTCCAGCAGGACAATGACCCTAAACATAAAGCCATATCCATGTGTTAGAATGGCCCAGTCAAAGTCCAGATCTTAATCCAATCGAGAATCTGTGGCAAGATCTGAAAACTGCTGTTCACAAACGCTGTCCATCTAATCTGACTGAGCTGGAGCTGTTTTGAAAAGAATGGGCAAGAATTTCAGAAGATGATGGACTTATTTTAAATCACTTACACTGGCCAGCTATCACATTTAAAACATGGGCAGTTGTATTAACAATAAAACCCTATGATGGGAAACCTTAGGTTTTGGGATCCATATGGATGCTTCTTTGACACATAACCAATGATGTAGACAACAAGGACTAGCCATGCAGGTGCCACCCCTCAACCCACAGGATCCAAAGGGTCCGCTGCCAGTTTCACAGGATCATACAGGACACGCCCAGAAATTAATGTGGAAGATGTGGTATGTAGGTCAGTAGTATTTATTTTTGTGTTAGTAGAAGGCAGATAAATTTTCATTTGTGTCAAGTTGAATAATTATTCCCTCTAAACTCAGTGATTCAGCGTTTCAAGAACTCCCATCCCACTCTTCACATATTTCTCAGCCCATTATGAAATCCTAATATGCAAATCTCATGATCTGAGGCAGTGCCAGTAACCGCAAACAGCTAAATGACAGGTAAGCTGAAGACGAGATACCAATTGTCTGGCTAGCTGAGTTGCTTTTCAGTTACGTCTTCACAGACCGGATGATTTTAAAGTTTGTGGTCTGGTGAGCAGGAAGTGGGTGGTACATTTATGGTTGTTGTATTGAATCAGTAGTATCTGGCCTGAATTCATGTGGGATTTGACTGCTGCATAATGTGTCATTTGTATTTGCATTTCATGGGGGTGTGCAAATTAAGGTAATGTTCCAAGACAACCACATCCAGCTGGACTATTTACTGTTTTCATTTTAGTCAACTACTTTAAACCCTTAATTTGAGGATAGGGCATATGATCCCTCATTAGATCACATGTCAGTTGTTTTAATGGAAACAAATCTGGTGGCTGTCACTAACTATAAGGTATCAAGTAAAATGTGTTCATTTTCTCATGAATGCTTTTCTTGCTGCAGGCTGAAATTCTCTCTGGGTGATGTTGTGAGGATTACATAATGTATAGGGGTTCTTTTTAACTACTTGCTATCATGCAATTTGTTTAGAATAGATGCCTTCTTACGCCAACATTTTCTACAAAACATGAGGAAGCTTGATGCATATGTCAGCAGTCAACTGTCAGAATAAGCAAAGCTAAATTATTACTGTTTCTCCCCACAAGCTAAGTCTTACGCACACGATTGTGAAGGTGGGTAATTCACCTCGAAGTCTGTTGTTACTGGGGGGGGAAAGAGCAGGCAGATCTGTTAATGGCCTGGATGATACCGATGACAGTTGTGTTGGCATGAGAACGTTGCCACTCAAAGTTCAGAGGTTAATGAGGATTCCTCTCCTGCACCCATGCCAGCAGCAATACTGCAGTGCTGCAACTTTGCCATTAATAGAAGGATAATAAACTAACCCACTCATGGTAAGCATAAAAATAACAATGTCAGAAAATATCAAAGAAAGCTTACAAAAATTTACCACAACTATTCATTTCACTTTTATTTACATAGCGCCAAATCACAAGAACACTCTCCTATATTGTAAGGTAAAGATCCTACAATGATACAACAACTAGTAATTTAACTCACCTAGTTTTTGGATTCAGTGGCTGCTCTTTCTTGTCCCAGTCAGGTTCTCTCACTCAGCCCTCTAACCTCTGTTGACAGCTTAAGTCTATTTCTCCTGTGGACCTGTGCACCTCCCACTTCCTTATACCTGATAGTGAGGTACTTCGATTAGATTGACTGTTTAAATGTGTATGGAAATGGTTGATGGGTTGGTTTCAGATTTTGGCAGCTCGGAATATCATCCTCATGTTTTGAGTGTGAGTGTGTGTGTGTGTGTGTGTGTGTGTGTGTGGCACTCGTCCAAGCTAGCCCAGCAATAAGAAAGAAAAACCTGCTGGAACAGGTTTCAAAAGATCTACTTGGTGCAGTCACTGGCAGCTGGCAGCCCTCTCTTCCTCCTTCCATCAGTCTTTTCTCTGAATGTTTGGCTGTCTGTACGGGACATAAAATACAGCACCACTCACAGCACAGAACGGGCATCTTGCCCTGCTTTCTGAGCTTGCCCATGGCAAAGGCTGCCTTCACTATGATCTGTTTTCATTTAACTATTGAGTGTTCAAACAAACATGTGCACAGGTGAATGCAGGCAACACCGTTTGTGCATTTGAAGCCTGCAAGAACACAAACGCGCCACTGCTTCTTTTCACTAGCAACAGAAGCAGTCATTCTGGAAATGTTAGTTTCTGATGTAACCAGTAACAGTAAATGTCATACCTCGTGGACATATCCACCAGTTGTTTCTTACAGTCTGCAGAATCTGAAGTCAAACTGATCTTAGGACCACCAGGCAGCTCCCACGTACATTTTAAGATCCCTGATATTTTTAGGAACCTAGTGTTTAAAAATCAGCTGTTAAGCTTGAAAAGAAACTGAGGTAGATATTTACCGAAGAATGTGAGAGAAGGAGTAAAGGTATGTCAATACAGGTAGATTCCTATCCTATCCTCCCAATGAACCAGGAACAACAGCAGCCTTAGCTCGTAGCTATACCTTGAACAAACCCTGTCCTCAGTGAGAGGGTGAGGCCGAGTGACAGAGAAAGACTGAGGATTAGTTACAGACTGAATAAACTCTTGTGTTACAATGCAACGCCTCTGCAGAGTGAAGATAGTGCCCAAGGCCTTTTCTGCCAAAGATGAAGATCTTGAGGAGGGAGTAATGTGGGAACAGATTCTGGGGGGCTCTTCAGTCAAAGTCTCAATGTCTTCTGGAAAATAATTGCTCCGGTGCTCGAGTGTTCTCAGTTGCAATATCATGTTTTCTAGAGCTGGAGCAACAAAACAATGCCTCTGACAGCAAGTCGGAGCACAGTTTGTACGGTTTTGAACTTGACTTATATCTTTAGAATTACATAACACGTAAGCCAGATCCATAATAATGACAGGTGAGTGAATGTTGTTTTCTTTGAGGGCTTTTGCATATAATTTACTCTCTGCTATATGCAAATAAAAATCCTACAGAAAAACAAATGCACACTAACTTGCACATCCAGTTTAGTTGTTTCATCAGGTCAGTGATCAGCCTCTAACCTATGTAAGCCATTATGAAAATGAATGGGATAAATAATAAATTAAAAGGATGACATTTTCATGTCTGTTTCTTCTCTGACCGTCCCCTCCATGTCACCACAGACTCGCTAATAGCAGATATGGCAAAATGGTATGTACCTTAAATAGATAAATATCTCTACTGACACGCTGTTGACGGGCATGTACTTGTTAAATTGCTTCCTGATCTTTATTTAGTAGCTGTCGGCTGGCTTACTCCCTCATAAAAAAATTTTTTTTTTTAACTTTCTTTTTTATCTTTTATCCGCAAAAACTAAAGTCATTCCTGGAAATTAAAAAAAGACCCCAAAATGATCAACATAAAAATGGAAATTTGCTAAACGTGTTAGCATTATTAGCCTGCTAACTTTGCTTTTCAGCTCAAAGCAGAGCTGTGCTGTAATATGTTAGCACACCACTCATATGCAGTACCTGCTTCATGACATACTTTACAATGTGAAACAGACGTCATGTTTGTGATTTGTTGGCTAATATTTGAATTTTGACCTGGTGTTGTTTGCTTGTTCTTTAAAGATATTAGTTTTATGTGTTGTTACCCAATACATCACTAACAAATTCTACCATCATCACTAGTCCAGTCGACAGTTATCCATCCATTATGTTAATTGTTTAACTAGTTTAGGATCGTCTGAGTGTCTGGAGCCTATCCTAGCGCTCATTGGGGAAAAACTGGCATTCACCCTGGTTAACTAGCAGGTCTCTCATTGTGTTAGTTATTGATTAAAAGTCACGCATGTATATGTCTACCTTTCCTTTCAATAAAATTTTAATGGTGTTTAAAGCTGGTTGGAGTAATAAGACTAGGTACCAGCTAACAAATGAAGCAGGGTTTTTTTTGTTTTGGTTTTTTTTTTGGGGGGGGGGGTTGCAATGATTGGCTGATCTCATAAACCCTTATTTTACTCATATCAAATGTTTACACTGGGGAAATGTATCATTTTAAGAAAAATGCTCATTTATTTTGAAATCAATGGCAACAACACATCTCAGAAAGTTTGGCCAGTTTAGTATTAAAGGTTTCAAGTTTTCCCAAAATATTTTGCTGCTGTGGTTCAGAGAAGACAGCAGCATTTCTGGATCACGTTTACATATCGACAGTCATTTCTGAACGTGTTCATGTGTCCATCAGGTGATTTCCATGACAGAATCATGTTGGTTTTTAATTCAGTGCGGTCCGGGGAACCTGAAAATTACATAGATGTAATCTTCATCTTTGTCCCTTGCACACAGAGATTTCTCCCGATTCCACTGAATCTTTTCATTTTATGAAAATATTGGGCACTGTAGATGGTGAGAAGTTTCTCTACAGACTGGTGAATCTCTGCCCATTTTTAATTGGGGGAAACTCTGCCTCTCTAAGATTGTTTTTTAATACTAAACCATGTTACTGACCTGTTGCCAATATAACAAGTAGGTAAAAATGATTTCTTTGTTCTTTTACAGGATTTTGTTGTCATCTCCCTTCTTTTGTGAGACATGCTCCTGTCATCCAATTTAAAATGAGTTAATATGTTTCTTAAAATGATCAATCTTCAACGTGTTTGTTCTATTGTGAATAAAATATGAGCATCTGAGATTTGCTAATCACTGCATTCTGTTTTTATTTACACTTTATGCAGCGTTTGGCGCCCCATCTTTTTTTTTTTTTTTTTTTGTCTCTTCTTTGTATACATATGACAAAATGTAAACCTTTTTAAGAGGGATGGATTTCCTGTGGCCATCAGATCACATAAATTGTCAATCAAATATCACCTGAAGGCAAACATGCTTTTTTTAAACCAGCTGGTTAAATTAAACATTGATTTGTTTTGTTTTGTTTTGCATGGCCTCAAACTGACAAATTGGGCATTTGACTCTTTATTCACAAACGATAAAGAGAGATAAGGAATGTTGGGGGAAAGTGGCTGAAACGTGAAAACCATAGTGTATCTACATGTGCTGAGAGTAATCCTTAAAGCTACAAGAACAATGTATACAGCTAAATCTAAGCAGAACTTTACCTGATAGCATACCTCCTTTATTACAGTAAGCATGAAATATGTGTGATCATTAACAAATCAGGACTATTATAGGGTGGACCTTTAATGGTGTGGCTGCACGTGCTCTTCCCAAAGTGGACGTTGTGACACCAGGCCATCGACTATATTTTCTTCCTCAGATCCACAGCTTAGCCATCCTGTTTAATTTAAGCATTTGAAGCTACACATGTGTCAGTACACAGTACACAGCACTTTATCGCACACAGGGGTGAGTGCGATAAAGTGAGAATAGACCTAAAATTCCACATTAGAAATAATGATTTATGAATGGCCTTTAAAAACTCAGGAAAACATTCAGAGTGCCTGAGGCAGCGAGCTTATCACCGAGTACTTCACATTCATGGCTCAGTGTGCACTTAAATGAATTCAGTAATTACAGTTGGTATCCCAGGGATATTGAATAATAAAATGTGCAGCTGTTTCTCCAAATGACTGTTCTTGGTATCCCATTTGAAAGAAATTACCATTTCATGACCAGTTATTAAAAATCAGAGGTGCATTAAAGCAGTAAAGTTTTCCACTTGCATTTCAGATCATTATGCATCATATTGATTCTCTTCTCACTTATTATTACATGATCAGTAGCTTGAGTCTTGGGATAACCCAGCTGTACTGCAGCATTACAGGGCACAAAACACAACACTGGAATGTGAGTGGTGTAATAACCCCTCACATCCTATATAAAGGTATAAATGTTGAGTCTTACTTCTGATAGCTGACATCAGTTGGACCTTCTTGAACCTCCATAACTGTGAGAATCAAATCCCTGAGAGCGAGTGATAGATTTTCCTTTGTGTGATGCTGTCGTCCAGCCTTTACCAGGAGCATGGTCTGTAGATTAAATAAAAATCTTCTGGGCTTCATACCTGCTTACTCCTTTGACCCTATGAGTTTTCTGCTTCCACCATTTTAAAGTCCTTTTTGCCCCATGCCTTCACATACAGCAGATATACGGCCCCCTGCCAAGAGGTTCAATGAAATGTTTTCAATCAGCGTCATATAATAGATTTTACCGACCTTCAATCATTTTGAATTTCTCCCACATGACCCCTTGAAAGGATTTGCCTCCTGTTCCCATGGCTCTCCTTAAATCAGCCGAGGGGTCAGTGGTCATAATCCTATAGATGGCAATGAGATTTGAGCCCATCATTAGATTTAAAAGTAACTACAACTCTTGGATCTGCAGTGTCGCTATTGTAAAGATGTGCTTTCTTTAAGTAAGTTAAATATTATACCTTTGATCAAATAATCAAAAGTTTGATTATCACATTTCTGTGTACTACCATGTGTACAATCTAACCATACTGACAGAATTGCAGTTTCACATGTATGCTTAATACAAAAAACACAATTTGTACTGAGGTTGAACAGAGGAACAGCAATCCCCATGAAGCCATTTTTATGTAGATATCCTGTCAGTAGACCTAATGTGAACCATTATGTAAGATGTATAAAATGCAAACACAAAAAAATATCCATCCATCTATTCATTCTGTT